CCGTACACAGCATGTAAGTGTGCACCTATTGATTTATAATTTCTTTCTTTCTTTTTTTTTAGACAAAGTCTAGCTTGTTGCCCCAGGCTAGAGTGAGTGCCGTGGTGTCAGCCTAGCTCATAGCAACCTCCAACTCCTGGGCTCAAGCAATCCTACTGCCTCAGCCTCCCAAGTAGCTGGACTACAGGCATGCGCCACCATGCCCGCTAATTTTTTCCTAGGAACTTGAGCTTCTGAAATTCTGGGGAAAACCTCAGCAAGGCCCCGAGATGCTTTTGTACACTTCCGGCCGGGATCTAAGATAACCGAGCCCTGCCTGAGCCTAGCCCCAGAATACAAATAGAAGCCAGCGTCATCCATTCTCACCAAGTCTTTAAATGTTTTAATTTCCTCCTCCTCCACTGCCGGCTGGGGCGCTTCTGTCGGAGAACCGTGCTCCTCGGGCGCAGCCATCTTGTCCGCGGGCTTCGGAAGTGCGTCGGCGGCGCGCGGGACGCTGGGAAATGTAGTTTTATTACTCGTTCTTCGCAGACGACGTGTTCTGGGCGCCCCCTGTGGGCTTGCCGGGGTTTGCACGAGGGTGGGGCCTCGCGGAAACGCAGCGAAAAGTTAGGCATAGGTAAGAGCGCGTGGGCTGTGGCGTTGAGCCGGTGCAGAAGGGGCTGATGACCAGGGCCTCCAGCTGACCTCTAGTTCCCTTTTGTTTTTTTTTTTTTTACTTTGGGGCAATAGAAAGTATAGTTCCCTTTTGAAAGAGCCTTCTCTACCTGTGTCGCCCGTTACATCCCCCGCTTTTCTAGCAATAGAGTTTTGAAAGGATTGATAACTGAGTGAGAAAGACATAAAATATATCATATGTGCTGTATATTTAATATATAAGCCCACAGATATCATATGCTGCTAGAAGACATGCAAACAGAAGATACACTTGAAATATTTCAGAACGGATGTCTGTGGAAGAAGAGGAGTTGGGATAAAATTGGGAATGGGGAATTGGAGAATTGGAATAGAAGAGAATAAATATGCACAGCAAGAGAAGAGACTTGCGTTGGTAATGTGAGAATTGTGAGTGAACTCCACTGAGTGCGCCTGAGGTCCTTCCCACCACCACACCAGAAAAGGGCCCTGATTCCGGAGTCACTCTGGTGTCTGCAACAACAAAAAGGGTAGAGTGAGGTCAGAGAGGCAGGCGCAGGTCGGACCTTGTAGGGCCCTGTAGTAAAAGGAATGGTGTTTGCATGTTATCCTAAGTACAAGAGGAGGCCGCTGGAGGGTTTTGAGCAGGGAAGGGCATGATCAACAGGTTTAAAATATCACTCTAACTCTATGTGGAGACAGACTGCAGAGAGGAACGTGTGGAAAAAAGGAGAGCATCTAAGAGACAGGAGATGATCTTCATACCCTGGCTCTAAGCACAGAGCCCGACACAAAGTGGATCCTCGGTAAATGCTGCCTGGCTGCAGTAAAACTCAGCAAAGCGTTGGGATCAGGTACCATGGAGACCAGGAAGGACTTCATTGATCGTTTCTTCAGGGAGTGAATTTTTTTCCACCGTTGAGATTACACCCCTGCAGAATAGGGGAGGCCTTTGGTCTTTTTATGTTAGTCAACTCCAAGTTAAAGGGAAGGAGAGAAGGCACACATTGCATAAAACACTAGGTTACCCTGGAGTTGGTTGTGTTAGGCAGTCACAGGCACACTGTGCTTATGCAGTCTAAGGCTTTCCAGCTCTCTACTTAGCCCTCCCTCATGCTCGCCCTCTCCGTTTTCCTAGGGCCGGGAATTAGGCCACTCCAGACGATCTCCAAGGTGGATAATACAAGGGCTGTCCAGAAAGTACCCAGCCATGATTACACGAAAAATAGAGGCATTCATTGAAGAAGTTACAAGATACAGGAAACATTGTACTAGGACAGTGACTCTCAGTCCCCTTCAAAGTAGCACCGTGGGACTCACACAGTTCTCCCAGCGTCTCTTAACCTAACTTGTGTGCGTTCAACATTCTCAGCTGTTCTGCTTGTTGCAGACCTTCCAGAATGCGGGTCACTTTCAGAAGATTCTTGACCATCTTTGAAGCATCTGTGCCACACTTTTATTTGTGCCACACTCATTGCATTGTCCCCGAAAGCCTTCCGAATCCTCCAAATAGTTTCCACGGAGGAATGTTCAAGCTTAACACAAGATCTGATGCAGATTCATTGCTCTACTCACTCATTTGACAGCCACACAGTACGCATGCTCGCTCAACAGCATCTAGCACCCCACTGACTAGTACAGTGAAGTCATCGTTGTTAACCCATCCGCATCCCAGTTCACCCTCCTTGGTTGCCAGGTTACATAGATGTCGCACAACTGTTCTCGTTATATAAACAATGGCTGGATACTTTCCAGACAGACCTCGTGTGCTTTGAGATGAGGGGACATCGGCTTTTCCCAAAGAAAATCTACCAAATCAGGTCTGGCTCATCCCCTTCCTGTACTCTGTTACATAGACCTGCTGAGGAATTTGTGCTGCTTATCTGACAAATGAGGAACTCGAGTCCCAGAGGGTGAAGACATGTGTCCAGGATCACACGGCAAGGTCACAAGGGACAAGACTAGAACCCAAGCCTCTCGAGACCACATCCATGCTTTGACTGAAGGAAACATTGTCTTACGTAAGCAAAAGTAGCTTTCATCTTCAAAAGCAGCCGCACAGATTTTTGTGTAAAAATAAAGAGAGAAGCAGCTGAATTGTTTATTTGGCTTCCCTTCGACTCATTCTCCGATTTGCTTTAGGAGAGTGGAATGAGAAATGAAGAGCTGAGAGAAGAAGGTGAGAGGCCCAGCTGGGGAGCGAGGGGGAGCAGAGATAAGAGACCTGAAAAGAGGAGGAGGGTGGAAACAACTAGAAGGGCTGCACCCAAGTTTTGTTAAAATATGTGACAGGCCGGGCGCGGTGGCTCAAGCCTGTAATCCTAGCACTCTGGGAGGCCGAGGTGGGAGGATTGCTTGAGCTCAGGAGTTCCAGACCAGCCTGAGCAAGAATGAGACCCTGTCTCTACTAAAAATAAAAAAAATTAGCCTAGTGGTGAGCACCTGTAGTCCCAGCTACTCTGGAGGCTGAGGTAAGAGGATCATTTGAGTCCAGGAGTTTGAGGTTGCTGTGAGCTAGGCTGACACCACGGCACTCTAGCCCAGTCTTTTTTTGAGACTCTATCTCAAAAAAAAAAAAAAGTTACAGAAAAGAAAAAAAAATCACACATAAGAATTTCTGGGGGTCAGCTAATACTTGAAAGGGAAACTGATTTAAACCATCCAACTGGAGTTAGAATATAGTTAGAGTATAAAACCCTGTTGGTTTTAGCCAAGCCAAAGTCTCTTCTGTTTGTTTTTTGGATAATTCAGACACAGGCTATTTTTAAAACTTCCTCTGGTGCCAGCGTCCCCAGGGTATCAACGGCTGCGAAGGGGATGTGTCCTGCAATGACGGCAGCATCAGCGTTGCTCCTGTCCTTGGACCAGGGCCTTCCGGCAAGGTTTGGGCCTTGAACCAATGCCCAACCTGGAGACAGGATTCGTGTCAGATGGACAGGATGGCCATAGGTGGGTTCCAAAGGGGAAAACTTGCATCCACTGAGAGGCCTGTCTGCCTCCTACTGTTCCTACCAGGTTTGGAGTAGTTTGGACATTTATATTCTGCGCATAAAATAATAGAGGTTGATTCTAGTAACTGGGCAGGGTCATATCCTGTACTTTCAGAACAATGAGGAAGGTTAAACAGGAAGTCTAAAGAAACATTCCGAATGGTGAGGGGGGAAAAGCGAGCCTGAAACAACATACTGGCTCCCGAAGAAGAGGTCTAAGTGATTGACCCCGTCTCTTTCTGAAAGGGTTTCAAGGGACCTAGGTACTTTTGCGTTTGTGCACCCCTTCCTCCACAAAAACACTTTATGTTGGAGAAAGTTCATTTATGATGAAGTGCTCTTTATTCAAGCCGGAACCCCTACAAAGTGTAATCGGTCAGAAAATTCTCTTTACACTCATGAGTTATAACCTATTATGTCTGTTCTGTATGTTTCAGTGAAGAAAGGACAGGGGATGTCAGCATGATGGCAGGGAGAGAAGAGGACAGTCCATATGGGATCTAGAAGAAAGAAAGCAGAAGTACACATTACTCAGTTATCTAAACAATTCATGTTTAGGGAGAAAAGATATCTCGTTCTCATTATTCATTGATTTATTTCCTTTTTCTTTTGTTTTTTAATTTGAAAAGTTTGTTTTCTTTCTTTTTTTTTCTTTTTTTTAAAATTATATTATATTTTCTTTTTCATTTTTTTTCTGAATGCCAAAGAAATTGTGGGTTTTGATGAAAAGTTTTTTAAAATACAGAAAAACCTTTGTTTTTCTTTGTTATGTCTTTGTTTGTTCAACAAATATTCTCAAGCACTTTTTCAGACCCTTGGTCAGACACTAGGGATCTAGGAGTAAGCATGAAACCTACGCTCCAGTGAAGGAGACAGCCTATTAAATAATAATAAAAATAAATTTTAAAAAATCCTCACAATCAAATGAGGCAGACAGGTGTGAAAAAGTAATCCCCAGTGAGATGAATGGTACCCAGGGGAAAAGCAAGGTGCTAGAACGATGGATGTTGGGGTGACCAAACCTTTCTCTGTGAATCACGGATGTTCTCCCTGTGACTTTTGTTGCTGTTGTTTTGTTTGTTTGTTTGAGACAGAGTCTCACTCTGTTTCCCGGGCTAGAGTGCCGTGGCATCAACCCAACTCACAGCAAACTCAAACTCCTGGGCTCAAGCAATCTTCCTGCCTCAGCCTCCCGAGTAGCTGGGACTACAGGCATCGCCACCATGCCCGGCTCATTTTTTCTATATATTTTTATTGGCCAATTAATTTGTTTCTATTTTTTTTTTTTAGTAGAGACGTGGTCTCATTCTTGCTCAGGCTGGTTTCGAACTTCTGACCTGGAGCGATCCACCCGCCTCAGCCTCCCAGAGTGCTAGGATTACAGGCGTGAGCCACCGTGCCTGGCCTCCCTGCGACTTTTGACTTTTTGACTTTTGAACCGAGGCTTGCAAGTTGAGCAGCACTTACTAGCTGTGTAGGGTGTGGGGAGTGGTCTACAGACAGAAAGAAACTTCCAGGTTAGGCCCTGCAGTGGGAAAAATCAAATAAAGGTTATAGGAATTATAAGATGGTGATTAATGACAAAGTTAGAGGTACAGGTGAGGACCTGAACACTTAGGACCTTACAGAGTGAGTTAAAGAGCCTGGAATTGAGGGTTTTATTCTAAGACAATGGGAAACCATTGAAGAGATTTTGGCAGAGATGCATGTGAGAAGATTACTCACTCAGCTGCAGTGGAGAATGGGTTGGGTGGGGGAGCAGCGTGCAGGAAGACCAGGTAGCAGCTGTTCTAGCAAAACATGATGATATTTTGGACCACAGTAGGGGCAGTGCGGCTGGAGAGCAGGGGACAGTCGCTCTGGGTGTGCAGAGGTTGGATAAATTGCCACAGCTGACTTAACACTGAGGATGAAGGCCAGGGATGTGT